CGTGTGTGTGTGTGTGTGTGTGTGTGTGTGTGTGTGTGTGTTTGTGTGGAGGGGGGACTGGGACATCGACCCAGCTCTGCAAGCATGCGCGTGCACGTGTGTGTGTGTGTGTGTGTGTGTGTGTGTGGAGGGGGGATTGGGACTACATCTACCCGGCTCTGCAAGCACGCGTGTGTGTGTGTGTGTGGAGGGGGGACTGGGACTACATCGACCCAGCTCTGCAAGCACGTGTGTGTGTGTGTGTGTGGAGGGGGGATTGGGACTACATCTACCCGGCTCTGCAAGCACGCGTGTGTGTGTGTGTGTAGGGGGGATTGGGACTACATCGACCCAGCTGTGCAGGCACGTGTGTGTGTGTGGGGGGGGGATTGGGACTACATCGACCCAGCTCTGCAAGCACGTGTGTGTGTGTGGGGGGGGGTTGCTATATGGCACGTGTTCTCACGGAACAGGTAGACAGAGACAGACAGAGAGTGAGAAATCACGTTCCAGGGCGATGACCACGCCGCGATCCCTTCTCCTCCATTTCCTCTCAGGACTTTGGGCACGCACGCACACTTCCCTGGAGTTTCAGGTCACCAGGCTCGGGACTTGAACTGTGGCTGACTACATAGGAGTCCAGCAACGTAACCATTATGCCATCTGCTGGTCTCGTTATCAGCAATTTTTGCTTCTCACCAAAACAAACCAACAAAAAGCAACAAACATAAAGAAAATAGTTTCCATTAAAAGCTTAGCCATCAGACCAGCAGCTGGCGTAATGGCTATGTCACTGGACTCCCATGTAGTCAACAGTGGTTTGAGTCCTGGACCTGGTGGCTTAAAACTCACACCGGGCGCGTGTGCGTGCATGCCCAAGATCCCGAGAGGAGAATGAAGGAGAAGGGATTGCGGTGTGGCCATCCCCCCTGGGGGGTGATTTCTCACTCTCTGTCTCTCTGGCAAGCGCATGTACCCTATAGCAAAAACCTCTCCAAAAAAAAAAAAAAAAAAAAAAGGCTTAGCCAGCTGACTGGGCAATTTTTATTTACCTGGCCCCTGAAAAAAAAACTAATCCGAGAGAGCGAGCGAGCAAGAGTGCACACACGTGCACGTGTGCATTTTAACAGACTTTTACATGAGAAGGTTATAATGTTATGGCTGACTTCTTGGTAATTTCTTAAGGCAAGGTAATCTCACTATCTCAAATTTCAACTTCTCTAGTCCCTAACGACCTTTTCCCATTCAAGTCACTGTTTCTATAAAGAAGTTCCACATGATGTGAGACCTCTTACAGATGAGCAAACTCACGAGAAATCAGAATAGCTTTCTTTCTCTGGCAGAGGGTCTGCCTTTATGATTAAATGCTAATGGTACCACTCAGAAACATTACAGGGCTACTCATTCATTCAATAAATGCTTTTAAGCAACTATTTTAAGATCCTGTGTGTTAGCTATGTTCTTAAAAATTTCTAACACTGTGTTTTTATTGTGTTTTCTCTGCAGCCAAATAATTTTCTTGATCATCTCTGAAAGACCCCAAAAGACACTGCATGAGACAGCCGTCCCAGAGCCTCCTACAGAGGAAGCGTCCGCGCTGACACAGCGCCGCAAGGACTAGCACGCAGGCCGACTCCCGGGGCGAGTCCGTGCAGCACGCCGCCCTGACAGATCACCCACGGATGTGCCGCATGCTCGTACGCCACACACACTTCCTCCACGGAAACCCTACACCTCCTCCGCACTGCTTCAGGTGACCTGCGACAGCCCCACTGGTGACGGCACGTCCTCCGTGGGCTCTGCTGAGCTCCACGCCCCGGCTCAGCATGCCCTCCCTGCAGAGCCAGACTTCCCCTCTGCTCCAGAGCATGCTGGCTTTGTTGTGGTTACGGCTTGCACAGAACAGAGTCCAGGATGTTTTATAGTGTGTGCAGCACAGGTCGGCCGGTGTGGACCTCACGCGGGAGTCCTGCACACCACAGGAGCAGCGGCGAGAGCATCCCTCAGTCGCGGCTTCAGGCCTGCATCCAGTTTGCGGCTTTCTGTGGGTGCAGCCACGCCAACGCACGCGGACCTCACCGCCATCATGCTCTGTGCCAGCAGTGTGGCGCCACGCCTACCGCACAACCACTCTGCTGCGACAACCGCACGGACCGTCACTCTTCAAATCCCCCATGCAAGCGTCTACTCTTGGGCCTTGTGAGGGGACTTCAGAAAGTTCTCGGCACTGAAGTATGTCCTTACTTTGCTACAAAAATTTAAATTTAAACCCACACATAATGCTTTCACAACATACGCTTTCCGCGGACTCCAGAAGCCCCTCCTAGGCCCTTGTCTCTCCTGACCCGCCCATCAGCTCCTTAGAGAATGTACCTGCAGTGCCTTTCTCATAAGGGGTACCGGGAGCCTACGCTTGCCCTGCATGGCTTAAAATGCCTCGATCCCACCCACCTAACACCTGACTGTCGCCCAGGGCTCAACTTCTCTCACTAAACATCTGAAAGCAAGAGCATTCCAGAATCTAGGATTTGGATTGTGGCTACCACTGAAAACACAGGAGGAATGCCTCACACCAGGTCCCTTTGGTATCACTGTTCTTTATCTCCGGATCCCTGCAGATGCAACTTAGTAAACTTTGGTTGGGTCTTTTTTAAAGTTGGGACCAGCAGATGGCGCAATGGTTACGTGGCTGGACGCCAATGCCTACACCTACACCCGCTGCTTTCTCTCCTTCACTTCCTTCCCTTCTGCCCTGCGTTCGTTCAGGTGGAGACCTCATGGGTCCCCCTCCCCGCCCTCCATCTATGCTGCTGGTCTCCAGGAGCTGCTCTGCCCCTTCCCAGCACTCCACTCAGACCTGGACGCACGGCCTTCCTGACCTCGGGGCTCTTCTATTTTAAAGGCGTTTTGCAAATGTCTGCTGCGCCTTGGCTAGCTACTCACAGGTGACAGCAGGTCCCAAGACAGCAGCAAGTCAGGCCTCTGCACACGGACAAGCATGATGATTGGCAGGCCTCAGAGGGAGGCGACCGGACCACATCAAGGCCGGTTTACACGGACCTGCCATTTCTCGCTGCAAGTGCACTCAGGGAGTCTGCGTCTCCGCCAGCGATGAGTATTCCGGACACGGCCCCACACACCATCCTCCCACTCCCAGAAGAATGTCAGCACCCTCTGCTACGCCTGCCAGCCCCAAGCCCAGGGCCTCCGGTTGGGTACTGACGAGCGTGGTTTCACTTCCTCAGCCAGGCAGATGACATGGAGCAGGGAGAGAGAGGGTCTGGTGGGACCTACCACTTCCTCTAAGACTTTCAGCCCGACTTTCAATACTGTCTCGGATGAGCCAAAGCCTCGAACTGCCCAGTCTTCACGGAGCTGACGTGCAGGCACGGGCCTGCTCCATCGGGAAGCCGGCTCCCCCAGGTCTAGTAAGGTGGAGACTCCTTCAGATCTGCACACGCCATCGGCACTCGAAGCCTCGTCCTCCCGTCTGCTCTCTGTCCTTGCCCACGTACTAGCTTTTGTCACTGCAGGGTCAGGTCAGTGCTTGCCCACCTACGTTCAGCGGAAAACTGCGCTATCTCCATAAACCCACAGAGACACTTGTTCTTCCAACTGGACCTAACTTCTTAGTTTTTCGACAAAGTCAAGCTCAAGCGAGCTTCCACACACAGCCCGTGCCGAGGTGCGCTCCACACGGGCACTGCACGCCGCTGCAGAGCCCGCGTGCGGGTGGTGGGAACCGCTGCCTGGACGGCCACTTACCCGGGCGATGCAGTAGCCCTGCGGGTTTTCCTTCTCCAGACCGTACTTCTCCAGAGCTTCAGCCACGGCAAAGTCTGCGGGGTCTGTGGTGGACAGCAGGATGGTCTTGTAGGGGATATTTGGTTTTAAACTATCTGCGTAAATTCTCAACGTTCCACCTGGAAAAACACGCGGACATCTTTGAGCACAGGGTGGCTTTAGTCCAGGGAGAGAGTCGACGTTTGTGATCACTAGAAAAGGGCCTCTGCGTGCCGACCGTGAGGACACTGGCTCTGTGCCGATGAGGCGCACTCCCGTCAGAGGACACCCGCTGCAGCGGCCCGGCACGAGGGCAGCCCGGGGCCCAATCTCAGGCCCTCCTCCAGCCACAGTGTCCCACTGATGACCTGGGGCCACGGCAGCAAACAGCGAGGGAAGAGCCCCAGTGTCGCCCTCAGCGCCCATCCCGTCTTCATCCACACTCCGGACGGCCGGCCTGCCTGCGCTCCCCACTGCTGGCCCACCACCACGCAGACCCCACTCCGCAGACCCAGAAGGGGACCTCCGGAGGCTGCTGCAGAGATCTCTCACGAGGGGCCTGCCCAGCACAGGCTCAGCTTCCCCTCCAGCCATGGCAAGGCTGAGTATCACTTCTGGCTCCAAACCCATCTAGAAAGAAACCACACAAGGAATGGGCTTTGCTTGTTTCTTGCTCATGGGATGATCTGTTCTTGAGCAGGTGGAGCCTGGGGAGCTGGACACAGTAAGTCCCCACCCCCACCGTGGGAGAGCGCTCTGTGTGCTCCGGGCGCAGCCAGACTGTACCCTCGCGGCGCTCTCCTCCACGTGGGCACCTCTTGCTGTGACTGCTCGGTGCGTTTCAGCCCTTTCCCCAGGCTGGCACGTGGCTCACAGTGCCTCAGCGGGCCCCTAAGCAGTGACTGGCCACTGGCGCTGGGGCATGGCACCTGCTGGGTCCGGCGGGGAGTGGCCCTGGTCAGCTCGGCCACTGCCCTTGCACACACGAGGGCCCTCCGGTGTCCCTGCTGGGGCCTGGCCATCAGGTCGGACAGCACACTGGCCTTGCACAGCTCGCCTTCTGGGTGAGAGGGGAGACGTGTGGGACAGGGAGATGTGGAACCCTAAGTGCAGCTGCGAGGAAGGTCGCGACAGAGACCTTGCTGAGCTTAGGGGCCAGCCAAGGCCTCTCCAAGGATCCGAATTCGCACTGAGACCTCGAGCGGCCTGGCAGAAGCAGCAGAGTGGCTGCCTGCAGCCCACGGAGAAGCTGTGTCCCCAGGGAGCCAGCACGGCCATGCTGGGGCCACGTCTGGCTCAGTTCACTGCCCAGTGTGGACAGCGTGAGGGCGAGACAGGAGATGCAGCCAGAGGCTAGAGGTCACGCAGGACCCCGAACACAGTCACGAGCGGGGGTTTCATTCGGTGTGATGTGGGAGCCCGCAGAGGCTCTAAGTTCTGAAAGTGTAAGACAGAAGGCAAGAGAGATGGTGTGTGTGCAAACACAGGTGTGTGAGCGAGCGCACACGTGCAGGAAGATGGGCACGATTCCTCGCTCTATGATGAGGATTTGGGTGTGGGGAGAGGTGGCGACAAGGGCAGCAGCAGCCGGCCTCACGTTGCGCCCCCACGAACTGCACCCTTCCTCTGACAATCACTCTGCCTCCCAACAGGCCCGAGGCGTTCACGAGACAAACAGGTGAAACCGAGGACTGAGTGCCCTTACAGACGAGGCAGCCTGCAGACGCTCCCCGTCAGACGCACCTTCGACAGGACTCTGTGGCCGCCACCTAGGATGCTCACACCTGCCGAGTACAGATGTCTGACCCCAGGCACAGACCACAGCACGGCAGAGCCCATCTGGCCTGGGCCACCGGCCTGGTGCTCGCAGAGCATCTGAGGGGCACTTCCTGCTAAGAGACACGCCAGGCCGAGAAGTCCACGCCCATGTAGCCAAATGAAGGGAGCGTGGGATGGACGGACTCCCATCCTGAACAACAGCCCGGCTGTAGCCCGGGAGAGCTGAGGCACACCGTGGGGCAAGGGCGGGTCCGGGCTAAGGCACTCCGACACCATGGGGCACAGGCAGGTTCTGGTTGTAGCCACAGGAGTGCTAAGGCATTCTGACACCAGGGGGCATGGGTGGGCCCTGCCTAAGGCACTCTGATACGGTGGGGGGCGGGTCCAGCCCAACTAAATTGTGAGCAGAGGCTGTGAGGACCATGGGAGAGCTACACGCCCCCACTTTAAGGAAGGAGGAGGAGGAGTTTCTATTACAGACTAAACTACCTGATAAGCACAGGATTCAGTTGTAAAGCTAGGGGACTGGCAGGCGGGTGGTGTGGCGGTTAAGGACACTGGACTCCCGCATGGCCGGCTACGGTCAGAGTCTCGGACCTGGCAGCTTGCTTTCTCACTTTCTCTGTCCCACTTTGGTAGAATTAAAAGAAATAAAGTTAAATAATTCTTTAAAAAAACAAAAAGAAAGAGAAAGAAAGAAAGAAAGGAAGAAGAACTAGGGTGCGACCACACCCACTCTTGAAGAGGAGCACACTGGCTCAAGCACAGGCCACGGGGCGGTCCGCACCTGCCGCTTCCACCACGGTGCGCTGGGACACCCAGGGAGGCCCGACCCTGGAGCCAAGCCTACAGCTGCTAACAAACTTCCGAGCAGGGAAACGGCCGTGCTCTGGTAGCGGGCCCCGCGCCACACTGACACGCAGAGCGTTTGGGGTCAACTACGCTCTGAAGGCGTCACAAAGGGAATGACAGAGCTCATGGGGGCAACCCGCCCGACGGGCTGTGCCGCTCAGAGGGTACGAGGATTCCGTCGCCAGGACCTGCTGACCCGGAAACGGTGTGGTCCTGTGCTGGGCCTCGTCTCCACTGAGAGTACCC